AATTAGTATTCGTGACATTTCAAACTTGCATTATTCAATGAAAGAACATACTAGGACGTACAAAACGAGCTGCAATGTGGAAATAAATGGATTGAGACCACTCGAGAGGCTTAATTATTTACGAATATTCGCAATTAAGTTCAACATCCTTTAATATCATTTAATTACATGGGATATTGTTTCTGTTCTTATAATTAATTTCAGTTTAATTTCAGCGCGCAGCACTAAAACTATCTTTCGTAATATACGGAATGCACAATACAATTGCATCCACCGCAATTTAAATATAGCCTATACAAAGCGAATAGCGTCGGCAGTATTAAAGTTAATTAAATTGTAGTGTGGTTAAGACAATTTAATTATTTAATACTGGCATTTAGACGACTCGTTCATTTTTGAGTGCTTTTTTTGACTGTAGCGCATCGCTAATTAATTAAACATACGTTCCGTGTTGTGATTAATGTATTCCCATTTATAGGATGGATGCAGCGCTGTGGAATTCATTAGCTGCCATGCACAAACCACAATCGTGAGTTTTTGTTTGTTCCTTGCTCAAATTGGATGGTTACATTGATAGCCTTCGTAATTACTGTGTATCGGACTACTATTGCAAATAATTGGTAAATGTTTTATAATCTGAAATTATTGCAATTGCGTCTGGTAACTTATTCTGCTACACACTTTGATTAAAAGGTTGTCGGTTTTATATTACAATGTTTTTCATACAGATTGGCTATTTCCATGGTAGGTAACATTTGAGTGGTTACAAGTTGCGATTACAAGCTGTGACACGCGGTCTGTGATTTAATTGCACCGTAACCGTCTGTCAATTTTGTTCTCTAGTTTAAATATATTCCAGGCTATCTAGTTGCATTTAAGTGATTGCTTTTATTTCCGTTTTTACCAATTTTTGGTGTGGTGACACATGGCACATTTTGTTCTAAACCGCAGTCATCCGCAATTTTGCTATTCTACTGGACGGAAAATGACGCCATATTCTGAAAGTGCCCAGAAAGGTCGAATTTGCTACCTTGGAGAGCCAAAGCACTGTGCACTTGCAGCTAAACACCGCTACCATTTTGTCAACTCTGGTGTATGCTATCCGCGTCAAGAACGTGTCTTCGTAATTCCGAATGGTTTCATTTTAATTTTTTTTTTTTTTTTTGTAGGTGGGGAAATGCTCCTTATGCACACTCCAGGTTGAAAGGTCTGGAGTAGTGTGGGGCTCTCCCTTACTCGGGTATACCCACTAAAACCCCACCTAAGGCTTCGGCTTCTATGGCCATTTGCCTATTTTCTCAAAATATCACAGACTTCGTTCTAATGGAATATTACATACAGGTAGGTCGACTCACATACAATACAATATTTTCGATATGACAAAGTTGGTAACTGACAGACAACAATAAATAACAATTAAATAGACAGCCATTATATCACAGTTTGTGCAACATTTCCACACTTTGGAAAAATCCTATCACCCTTCGACACCGTTCATCGCTGTTAAAGTTACCTTCCCATATCGGGCATATCCCGAAGGTGTCCCGTATATCTTTGTATCGTGGACAGTTACAAAGTATGTGCTCTAGTGTTAAATTAACCTCACAGTTCGCACATAGGGGTCTAGGTTTACCTTCCAGCAAGGCGCTATGGGTTAATGCGGTGTGCCCAAGTCTAATTCGAAACATCTTCACGAATACAAACCGACCCTCGCCAAGAAGAAATAGCGGCCCCAAATCGGGTCTGACCCTTTTCAAAAATGAATCGGACCTCGCCCATAGGTCGCTCCAACGCTCATACACCCGAGCCCTGACGAGTGTACGTCGGGTTACTGTTGTCTCATTTGCAACATCAAGGTCATTTAGTTGTATAGTAAGGCCGATCCTGGCTCACTTTACATGGAAAAGTGCCATATGATTGAAGTGTTAGCGTTTCAAGGTCAAAGTGGTGTTGAAGGTCAAAGTGGTATTGCGTAAGTGGGGGGGTGGGTGGATTTCAAGGTCGAGTGTTGAGAAGAAAGGGGTGTATTGTTTGTGTTCTTTGGAGGGGGGTGGTGGTGTCGGTTCAAGGCCGTTGGTAAGAGGGGGTGATGGCTGAGGCCATTGGATTTCAAGGTCGATTGGTGAAAACAAAGGGGTGTATTGTTTGTGTTCTTCGGAGGCTTCAAGGTCATGTGTGGGGATGTGTCTGTCTGAAAGAATGCGTGCCGATGCTGGCTCACTTGAAGGTCAAATCGATTTTGGGTCGAAGCTGAATGCGTGGCGATCCTGGCTCACTTTCAAGGTCGTATCGATGCATTGGTGTTCAAGGTCATGTGGGGGTGTGTCCGTCTGAAAGAATGCGTGCCGATGCTGGCTCACTTGAAGGTCATATCGATTTTGGGTCGAAGCTGAATGCGTGGTGATCCTGGCTCACTTTCAAGGTCGTATCGATCCTGGCCCACTTAGCATTGAAGAATATATGAATAAAGTGTTGGTGTTCAAGGTGAAATTGGTGTGGTGTTGCGTGGTCGTTTCAAGGTTTTTGGATTTCAAGGTCGATTGCTGAGAGTGTTAAGGGGGGGGTATTGTGTGTGATCAAATTGTTTTTCCTGAAGGCGATTGGATTTCAAGGTCGGACGCTGAGAACAAAGGGGGGTTTAATGTTTGTGTTCTTCTGGGGGATGGGGTGCCACTGGCGGTGCCAGTTCAGCGCTGAGAGTGTAAAAAATGGGTTGCGTAATTTTTCGGCTGCCGTCTCAAGATTGAGGGTAAAACGTAATTATTCTTCTTGCCGGCTTCGTATCTCAAAGGCCGAGAGCGCGCCGGGGGTCGAGAGAACAAAGGGTGTATTGTTTGTGGTCAAGGTCAAACGTGGTGCAATTCTTAGGCTATCGAGGGATGGTTTGCGACTTGGAGAGTGGGGGGTGTAATATAAGGTGCTTATTGGAATAGTCATTTGTCCATAATAATAATAATAATAATAATAGAGGAGATGTCAAGAGTAATTGTTCATCATCATCATCAGCAGCAGCAGCAGCGGCAGAAACGGAAAGCTGGTAAAGAAAATTAGAAAATTAAAGTGGGATGTGGAAATTTTGGGTTGTCGGCGCAGTATGGAAAAATTGATGTTGGGAGGCCTACTGGCGATTTGTGGTGAATATGTGGCGAACGGCTGTTGAATGCCTTCATCAAACCTTATTGGTATTACTATCTGATGCTGAGCATGAGGCGGTGTATGGACCTGAGACTTTTAGGGAACAGTGTCAAAACATTGCCCAAAGGTATGAGTTGGGGATTGAAATATGTAGACGCTTTTTAAATTATAAAATATCCGTTTATTGCCTTATGAACGGACTAAACGTGGCTCAGTTGGGTGAATACATAATATGGTGATGAAGAAAGTGACATTTGACGATAGTAACAATCGCGTGTATGTGCTGATCGCGTGGTCATGTGCATATAATGAAGCGCGAAAAGGGCCTTGGATAGATTTCGCTTTAGTAGGAAAATAGAGCAATTTTGTAAGATATTGTTTCTCGTCTTAGCAGAAAATCATCGATCATCGGTTTATCGCACTAGATTTCATGGTCAACATCAGACCGCAATATAATGGTATATATCGCACTGGATTTCAAGGCCACCATACAGCAATGTAATGGTTTATCGCACTCTAGATTTCAAGGTCATCAGCCAGCAATATAATGGTGGTAGAAAACGGTGCCTGGAATCAGTCGAATAGTGTTGACTAATCAGTTAAAATGGATCTTAATCGACTCAACAGTAGCACCTACTGCAAACCTTTCAAGAACGTCAAGGATATGAAGGTTGGTGAAAAGTATAAAGTGATTGGTATCGATCTAATCAATACCAAGTATGGCGATCGAATACTGATCGATACTGAGAACTTTAAGTGCATCCTTCCTTTGCGCTTTTATGAGTACTTCAAGAGCGACAACTGTCTGCAGATCTTCAAGGACTTCTTGTCCAGGGAAGAAGTCTTTATAACATGCGCTGGAACGGCGGGGAAGACTACTAATTTAACATTTATGTAAAAAAGTTGTAAATGAGAGAGAGAGAGAGAGAGAGAGAGAGAGAGAGAGATAATAAATGTTGTTCACGAGAGAGAAATTGGGTCTCTTATTTAAATGCACATCCCACTCTCGAGATCATCTCAACGAAAAAAAAAAAAGGCTCCAAAATGTGGTGACGAGGATGAGGGCGACGATGACAACATCTATCGCGATATTGAAGATGTGTTAAACTATAAGTTTAACGTAAATTCTCACAATACAGTTTGCAAGATGGAATTATTATACTATCGACCTACTTATTTTATGTATCACATATGTTATTTTATGTATCACATATGTCAATAAACGTACTCTATTTGAGCATTTTTTTTTATTTGATGGAGGCAACTTCTTGCCACACTTCAACAATGTTGAGTCGGAAGCGGAAGTGTACGGATGGGAGTGGCTTGGTTAATAATCTTATAAACAAACTTCCAGTGGAACTACATATTCCTGGCTATCAGTATTGCGGACCTGGTACTAAATTAGATAAAAGGCTAAAGCGAGGCGATCCCGGCATAAATCCCCTAGACGCTCAGTGTAAAGAGCTCGACATTTTTTTTTTAAATAAACAGCTTTCAAAATAAACAGGCTGTTCCCCCTGTTTGTTTACCTGTTTCCCTTGATCGCATCATCATGGATACTAAAGAGATGGCCTTGAAACGACGAATAGTTCAAGCGCGTAAAGTACAATCGTCACAAAGCGGATCGTTTTATTAAAGAAGTGGAGTTTGTACGAACGTATAAACCGCTAATTCAACCGCTATCCCAGATCGTTAAGAAAATCGAACCGCCGTTAAGGTCATATCGATTTTGGCTCACTCAAAGCTTAATGGGTGCCGATCCTGGTTGACTTTCAAGGCCATGCGGTGTTTGTCTGTCGAGTGTAGTTTCAAGTTTGAGAACAAAAATGTTGTATTGTTTTCGGGTGATCAAGGCGGCTTAAGAATGGGTGTGGTTTAAACTAATATATAAGTGTTTGTTGTAATGGGTCTTTGCTCTGAATAATTCAATAATAGGCGAGATGTCAAGAGCCATTGTCCATCATCATCATCCACAGCAGCAGCACCGACATCATCTTTGCAATGCAATGGGGAAAAAAGAATTGACGAACTGTTACTGAAAATTAGAAAATTAAAGTGGGATGTTGAAATGCTGGGTTGTCAGCGGCTCAGCGCCGTATGAAAAAACTGATTTTGTAGTGATGCTTGGACGTATTCAAACTTTCATACAGTAGCAGTTAAGGCAAGGATTATTTCTTTGTGTGATGAGACAATGGCATAAATAAGACGATGATGGTTATTCTTGTGTATCAATTAAGACAATTTGTACTTATGTAAAGTTTGAGTATTAAAAAAGAATGTATAAAGGGTGCTTATTCATTTTGCCCTGACATTCTTCCTTTAGAACCAATTTGTACGTGGTATGATCAAACACGCTTATTTCTTGTGTAGGAATTGCGAGCGAGAGGGTTAAAAAAGTTTGGGGATTGGTGTTTAATGAACGCTCAATTTTTAAAACGAGTACACTGTACCTACCGTGAATAGACGTTCTGCTTGGTATCGCGCATTTGGTAAAAATAGAAAATTATCAGCTCGCATTATGTCGACTTGCGTATGCACTCATTTCATTGCACAGTGATATTCGCCGATTCGCGATGTGTTGTGGAAAATAATTTTGGTGTTTCTTTGTGATAATGATTAATTCGATTAGTATTCTCACTCGAACTCAGGTAGGTACGTAAATGTTGCATTTAAAGTTATACCGTGAATGTTTGTGGCAGGTAAACTAAATTAATTAATATCAACAATCGCATTAAATAATCCATGTATTTTCTACGTAAAATTAGCTACATTACATTAATGTTTTACTTATTACTCGTAAGTACCTACCGAAGTACCTACTATTACAAATGTGAAATTAAATTTAAAAAGAAAAATTAGCTATTCTTTAAAAATTGCATGTAATTTATAATAAACTTCATGTCTCGATGCAGGTTTTCATCTTGAAGCCGTGGTGCAGCCAATTCCCGTTCTAAACGCTCCGTCTGGAGTTGGGAATTTCTTTGTCTGGCCTGGAAAATTGTCAGCATCTTCTCCAGACACCCCATTGATAACATCGCCAGCTCTTGGGGTGTGGACGGCTCGTGCCATCTGGGCGATTCATGAGATGGCGGCGGCGGTGGTGGTGGTGGCGCCTCTTCTTGGTCGATGGCTGCTGAAGACGGCGGCGAGACGTGTTCATAAAATTCTCTTAGTAATTGCATATCTTTTTCCCCCCTAGGCAACGGGGCACTGTAACAATAAGAGAAACAATATTAAAAATAGATTATATGTAGAATAAAAGTAACTTACTGAAAGTGATTGTTGCCGCCGTTATTTACAGGTAGCTGTAGTGGTAAATTTGGTTGTTGTTGAGCTGGATTATTTCTGTAACGTAACAATAAAATAAGTATTTCCACATAAACGGAGGTACAGTAATGAGTAAACTTACGGAAATTGATGCATGTCACCCATCGCGGATTGTGGATGTAAAGCTACCATTTCTGACGGCTGCGTTTGAGTATTTGCCTGGGGTAGCGGCGCAGGAATTATAATATGCTCCAATATTTGTACTGATGGATACGGGCTGTAAAACATATATGTATTAGAAATTTTATTTTTTCGTGAACAATAATTTGTACCTTAACTGTTGTTGGTGTTGTTGTTGCTGGCCATGTCTGGGATCTATCACCGGTGGTCTCATGTGAGATGGAGGAATCGTTGTAATTGGAGGAGCGTAAACATGATTGAAATTTCCCTCATATTCTTTTAGAAAAAATCTTCCAGTTCATTTGTGGTGGTGGTGGTGGTGGTAGCTATTGTTCTATAAAAAATAAAATAATACAACATTAGTATCTATATGGATGGTGGAGAGCGAGAACTAAATTATTATACAAGTTTACAACTTACCTTTCCGGATGTCCTTCTTTATCTTCCGTGAGGAGGTTGATCACATCACCATCGGATAACTTTGTAGGTTTTTCTAAGGCGATCTTTAAGATTGAGCGTCCACCACCCCCACAGGCATTTATGTAAGGCTTCTTACTCGTTGCACTTTTCTTTAAAGTCAACTTGTTGTTGGCGCGTTTGGTTGAAGACATGACGATAACGTGCAGATTAACACTTGTGCTGCAAAATGACTATGACTACCCCTAGGTATATATGTGAAGGTTTTTGTTGGAGTTAGCAAAAGAGAGATTCTGAAATAACATCAAGGACGTTCTCACACACATATCAACCATTGTCCTGACACTTGCACGCTTTTGCAGGAAACGTATATTTCCATGGGGTTTGCAAAATTATAGTGTTAGCAAATGATACCCGTGGAACACCTGCAACCTTGAAGATTCCCAGAAGATAGCAAAGACAGCAGAGACCATTCTACACCTCAGTTTAACAATGATAATATTCTTTAATATACTTGGAAGATGAACTTATAAATGATTTTTAATCCGTGAGATCTCATATTGACGTGGTATCTGTAGGTATATCGCATTTCGTAAGATACGATAACGTATTTCCTGCCGCTCTTGGAATTTGTCGCAGCACCGTGTTTGCAAGCATCTCTTCTCGTTTCAAGGAACTATATAGGATAACAGTTTTAATTATAGGTAGAGGTGGAATCTGTTACAAGTTTAAGCAACAACATCGTTAATCTAACGCGAAATTAAATTAAATTATTGTAAAATAAATCTGATATTGTGCGACATATTTCAATAATCACTTCTAACATACGTTTATTAGAGAAGGCAATTACCAATCACCTTCATAATGAGGTAAATGAAAACCCGATAAGACTCGAAGCGAATTTAGCTCAACTTAAATGTTTTCGAGCGCAATTAAAAAATATCTCGATAAAAAAGGAGGGTTGTGGAATAAACGACATCATCGTGGATAAAAAAATCGGCCCCTACGTGCTCAGGCCTGATACACATTAGATTCTTGTTTCAAAGTCGTTTGATTACCGACGTCATTGTAAATTTCACTCATAAAGATCCTTTAGTTTTTCTAAAACAATCGTGCGACAGCATTGCGCGCAAAATTGGTGAGGCGCTAAAACGTTCAATGCTAAAGGTAAACGTAATTCTGGCATGTAATTTTATCCACCCGCAAGATCTCAATTTAGATTTGAAAACATTTCAAACCAGAAATGCTACAATTGATAGCCGTACCAATCTTAAAAAGTGGTACAAAGAGAACTTTTTTGATAAACTGCAAGCCAAATTTTCCGAACACCGGTCCGGGTGGTGTTTGATCGAGTTTTCTACCTCAAAATCAATATTATTAATTATACTCCTATCAGAGGAGGTTTTTCCGCATACATAAAAATGCCCTCGTTTATACTAGCTAAGAAGGCCGTTGTAAATGTGCGAAACAATGATAAGTTTTGTTTTCTATGATCAATAGTGGCTGCTTTATATCCTGTAACCAAAAACGCTGATAGGGCGAGTAGTTATCCTCATTTTGATGATAAGGATGCGGATGTGCAAAAGGACCGTTTCAGGAAAGGTTTCGATCACTACATATATAATACCGTGAAAACGTGTTTATTATTCTGTTGGAAATAAACAGCTATCAAGTCAAACAGCTTTCAAAATAAACAACTTTCAAATAAGAGCTTATTGAAAAACAGGCTGTTTCGCCTGTTTGTTTACCTGTTCCCTAAAAAAATTGCAAAGTATACTCTGGTCGCTCTACTTTTAGGGAATTAGGATAAAACAAATATAAAGAGTACATTTAGGCAAACTGTTTACCGAAACAATATTACTTTTTATGGTCTCGATTGCAAAATCCATATATTGAAAGCATTCACAGCGACAGTCGTAACATCCCGCACAAGTTCACTTCTACAACCGCCGCATTGTATAATAGTACGGTTCGGATAAAAAAAATTATTAAAGTCCTCGTGTGAGATCGAAGGGACTTCAGCGCATTTTTGTGTAGCAGATCAGTATTCTATTAGCCACTTTGACTCAACCATCAATAAAAGATCTTGTCGTAGGCTACTACATTCACTTTGTCGGTACCCGCTTCCCACTTTCCGCGTGCACCCCCAGATGTCGCCAACCTCACATCATGTAGCCCTGTCCCTAAGGTTGACAAATTACACGGCCTTGTAGATACACGTACACCCGTTGTCTTTCTACAAGAGTTCTTCTACGCGCCCACATTTGCTGCCAGACAGCCAGCCAGCCAGCCAAAGTGAGATTAAAAGCTACTTTTTACAAATAAATTTGCAAAAATGCGCTAAAAATGCACGTGTTGCAGTGTAAGCAGGTTGCGGCCTGCGCGGTAAGGTGAAGGTTATACCTATTCCATATGTGTTATCATAAGTGTTAAATTACGGTTATACTTAAGTTATAGCAGGATACAGCCAAAGGACGTTAATTCATAGTACAATGTGAGGGCTTCCCAGTGCAAACTGTGGATTGCTGCGTATATACGGCGTATACCTCCGTATTTTTAACAAAAAGGCATGGTATACGCTTCTAGGAAAAAAAAAGGCAAGGTATACACCGTATACCCTCGTATACCCCCGGATGACACCACTGGTAGTAGTAGTATTTTGAAAAGTAGGGAAGTCTAGCCAGCGGACTGATCTCGGTAAGGGAAGAGGGTCTTCGTCTCGATCGCATGTAATAAGGTATCGCAGGATCATACGTTGTAGTGGTGACTTTCTTTTGCAGGAGATTGGCGTTTTTTAGGGGGGCGATGTAAATACTTCGTCCTCTGGCTCCTCCTTTTTCGTCTCAATAACCGATGATGACGGCGGTTCGATTTTCTTTACGATCTCGGATAGCGGTTACGTTCGTACAAACTCCACTTCTTTAATAAAACGATCCTCTTTGAGAAGATTGTAGACTTTTGCTGTATCGCTTTACGCACTTAAACTATTCGTCGTTTCAAGGCCATCTCTTTAGTATCCACGATGATGCGATCAAGGGAACAGGTAAACAAACAGGGGGAACAGCCTGTTTTTCAATAAGTTCATATTTGAAAGTTGTTTATTTTGAAAGCTGTTGACACATCTGCATCCTTATCATGTTGTAAATGAGAGAGAGAGAGAGAAATAATAAATGTTGTTGACGGGAGAGAAATTGGGTCTCTTATTTAAATGCACATCCACTC